TCTTAGAATGCTCAAATTTAATGGAAAAATAAAAACATTCCCGAAATTACTCAAATGCGATGCCCAACCAGACAGCCCTGAACATCTATTGAATTGTATCAAATCCTCCAAAATAGACCTCTGGGAAAACCCCAGGACTATAATAGAAAAGCTGAGACAATGAAACCTAATGGAGATCGTTTAAACGACTTGAAGAATAAGCAACAACAACATTGAGGATTGATCCTAAAATAAAAAAGGAATCTAATATGCTATTGTTAGAAAAGCCATATGTTAATGCCCATGACAACTTTAATAATAATAATGATAAAATAAAGCTCTATATAGGCGCTTAAACCTTTTTAATTTTTAAATTTTATTTTAATATTTCGAATTTCTAATTCATTAAAAAGATAAATAAAATTTAAGTTTCGATATGTTACATATAAGCTTTCGAGAATGATCTAATACCACTGCCTCTATCTGTTCCTGGAAGATAAAAATATATTCTAAAAGTAAAATAGAAAGTGAAAAGATTTTTAATGACGTTTTACAGATTGAAATTTTAACATTTTTAATATTCAGAAATTTGAGCTATTTTTGGGCGAACTCTTTAAAAAAAAAAGTGTATTGCTTAGTAGTGGGTGAATAATCTCATGTATTCAAGTAAATGTGCCCAATCTATGGAACCAGAACCAATTTAATTTGTGTTTTCACCTTGTTAGGATGTGTTCTTAGGTGTGCATGGATTAATAGATGTGACAAGATTACAAATGCTGGCAGGATCAACCTAGTAATAGATTATGCAAAAGAAAAAGGCATCTGCTTATCGTGCAACTGAAAGTTACTGATGGCTTGCGTCATCTTTGCAACTTTTGCAACTTTCAGTTGCACGATAAGGAGATGCCTTTTTCTACCTCATAATTTTTGCACCATATCCCAGTACAATATCAGATTTGTACTATTTTTTTCACATTTGTGATAGATGTTTCGAGAATTTAACTCAAGAATTGCCATATTTATAAATAGCTAAGTAAATGTATATGATATAAGAAGCAATATCGGATTTAATGAGACATTCGTGGTTTCGTCTTGCTATCACGTGTATGTAGATATGTATGGCTTACTATTTGATGCAAACGTATGACTAATGGCAGCTAACACACACCACACACACATGCTTCATAAATTATTTCTGTACTTATCATATATATATCCACGTAAACATATACACCAGGATACATAATAAGACCAGAAACAGGCCGGGTCTCATTAATAATAACAGCTCTGAAATTGACCTTGAAATATTGGCTGAGGGTGCTGAGTATGGATACAAATAGATTGCCTCGAATATGTTTAAATAGAATGAGGCAAATATCCTGTGCTACAGGTGCGCCCATCGGGTTTATAAAACAATTAAGCAATTTACTCAATAATAACGGATCCTCGTGGCTTACTTATTGTAATGATCCTGATTCACTAAGGAATGCTATCCCAGGAATATTAAGAACTGCGATAGAGCAAACAATACAAAATGACTTAACAAGAATAACCCAATCAAAGTTTATTCTCACTATAGAGATATATATACAACGTTTACCACCGAAGAATATTTCTTAAGTGAACTCCCTTTTCCTGTCATCAGATTAATCGCACAATTTAGAACCCTTTCAATTTTTTTCAGAGAACACCATCGGATTTTATTGAGGCGTGAAGACCTGAAATGCACTTTCTGTGGATCAGGAATAACAACGGAGATGTTGCACTACTTATTTGACTGTGCTGCTCTGTCTGAGGAAAGACGAAAACTAAATGATAAAACGGGGCAACTTTGTCCTTCATTTCCGGCACTAATTAATGAAATATCAAAAAATAGGTATATAGCGATGGCGATATTTGGATTCCACAAGACTATATCCCGGAAAAAGGCCACACAGTGTTCTCCCCATCCATTGTGAACTGGCGAATCCTGTATAGGGCGGGAGGCCCTAAATAAAGGCTTTTTGTTGTTGTTGTTGTTGTATATCCACGTAAATGTGTATAATATAAGGAATTAAAACCAAATTCAATAAATAATTTTGGTGCCGCTCTCTTTGATAGAGTATATATTTAGACATGTAAGGTTCTATATACAAAAAAAAAAAAAAAAAAGCATTACACTCATGGACCAAACTTAAGGAAATGGAAAGTCTTTCATATCTCCGGTTATCTATTTTTTTTTTTAAGGAGACAGAGGCAATTTTGTTCACACTTAGTTATCTAATGTGTCTTTAATAAAAATCACTGTAATATCTTTCAGATTTATTGTCTAAATACCGATATACATGCTGAAAATGTACAACTTCCTTAAGTTTTGTCTATGAGTGTATGACTACTATCAGGATTAAGCTGTTAATACACGTTTAGAGTAGTTTTCTTTCTATCTATTGTAGTCGCATGGAGAGTGGTGGCTGACTGTGTGGTTGTGGCAGGCTGGGGCCAGGAATGTACTTCCAGGATCCCCAAGGACATAGATGTTGAGCCCCGAGGGTCGGGTGTGCTAACCAGTCCAGGGTACCCTTCGCCCTATCCTTTCTCTGTCCTCTGTTCCTACCGCATAATTACCAAGGCCGGTTACGTAAGTACCTCTCAACTACCTTTAACCATTCTTCTTTAGTATTCCTTGATATACACTCATGGACAAAACTTAAGGAAGTAGAAAGCCTTTGATGTATCGCCTATCGTCTATATATACTGTATATTTTTTGAAGGAGATAGAGGCATTATATACAAGTCGGTGGATGAGAGGGTAACACGCTCGATTCCCGACAGTCATGAACCGGGATTGAATCCCGTGTTAAAAAATGTTTAATATGTGAATAACCTTCACATATTATTCATTGTTCAATTATCTTGAACTAGGTTGCTCTTGCTAAGCGGTACCTATTTATGTGAATTTGAACCAGGATAGAGGCATTATGGTTCACACTTGATTATCTCGTGTCTTCAATAAAGGTCACTGTAATATCTTTCAGAGTTATTGTCAGAATCCTGATATACATGCTAAAAGGTACAATTTCCTTAAGTTTTGTCCATGAGTATAATAAAATATATTCAAAAAGATACTCTGTCCTCACAGGATGCCTGGTATATTTGCCTTAATTTGATACAGGGGATGGTGTGTCTTGTCCACTCCATGGAAAGGGGGGAGGTGTCATTACCCTGTTAGTCAGCCACATTTCAGAGTTGCTCCTGTTGAAGGACATGCTAACCCGAAAACTAGAGGAATGATGTTATACAAGAAACTTAACTCTGGATGCTTTACTTTATTGAATTATAAGTCAGGAAAGAAGAACGTTTTTTTTTTCAAATAGAGAGTTTGTGTTTCAGAAAATCCGTTTGAGTTTTGAAGATTTTGAGCTGGACGCTGCGGACTCGTGTGATGGAGATTCTCTGGCAGTCCATGATGGTTTCTCCTATGGAAGTCCATTGCTGGGACTGTACTGCAGCGATATACGTCCAAGAGACCTGCTGTCCAAAGGTCAAGCTGTCTATCTCAGATTCACTTCGGACTTTATGGACTCCGGGCGAGGATACAAGATCAAGTATACCAGTGTTCCAGGATATGAGCGTAAGTCTTTAGTTCTTACATCATACCCTGTTGTTGAAATGTTAAATAATTGTTTAATTTAACGCTACTTTTACATATATATAATCAAAATATATATATTTCCGATAAAAAAATCATATTTAAAGTTCAATTCATTTTGTAAATACATTCTAAACTTTCTGCAAAATCTGGATCTCTAATGTTTTCATGCGTTGAATAATGTAAATAACTTATGTAAATAAACTTTTCTCCTTGTTTGGCGCAAGTATCCCTTGCGGGATATAGTGCTTTGAAAATTAAAAAAAAAAAAAAAGGTACACCCTTTTTTTATATAAATGAAAAACATGTTCATTTGTTATGTGATGGTTTTATAGAATTATTGTGTACTTGTATCTTGATGAACCTTTTTTTTATGGTATCTATTTCACAGCCTCTTGTGTGTCATTGGTTGTGAGGTATGATTGCTACAACAACTATGGTAACCCCAGTTTTTCTTTTAACTTTATTATAAAAAGCCCTTTCAGAATCTCCAAAATAATCATTATAATAATATGGGGCTTATGATTGTAGAACGAAATTTGACAATTATCCCGCATGTGTTTCTTTTGAACGAAAAATCGAAATTTATTTTAAGTGAAAATAACGATTATTTCTAACCTTAGAGATGAAGTATGAAATAATGAATTGTGAAGAATAATGATAAATGGAAAAATAAAGTGTCCAGGATAGCCTAGTAGATATGGCATCTGCCCGGTAAGCGAAACACTATGGGTCTGTTTCCCATCCCTGGACACTTTATTTTACCATTTATCATTACTCTTCACAATTAATTCTTTCATATTTCATCCCTAAGGTGTGTGTTAGAAAAATTCTTTAATTCTCCTTTAAGTAAGTTTCGATTTTTCCTTCAAAAGAAACATTTACGGGATAATTGTCAAATGTCGTTTTACAAAATGACCATCCCTTCTGAGGACAGCAAGTCACTAACACGATGAGAATTGAACAAATTATTAGTTGATATAGCTATATTTTTGCCTAATAAAAATATATTTCTCTTTACAGATCATATACAGCATTTTTATTCTATTAAATAGAAAATTTAGATAAAAATATGTATATAATAATGTATAAAGTAATACTTAAAGCCTCCCCGCATAAGTTTCTTTTTTTGTGAAAATCAATATTAATTTCAAAGAGAAATATGTACTATTTCTAACTTTTTGGATGACGTATGAAAAGGTTGAAATATGAAGAGTAATGGTCTATATATGATTGGATGACGTATGAAAGGGTGAAAATGTGAAGAGTAATGGCGAACGGAAAAATAAAAGTGTCCAGGGGCGGGAATCGAACCCACATCCTTCTGCTTACGGGGCAGGTGCCATGTCCACTAGGCTACCCTGGACGTATTTTTCCGTTCGTAACTAATACTTAAAGTAACTTTTTTAATACAATATAAAGGACTGCGGTGTATGATTATAAAGTAATACTTAAAGCCTCCCCGCATAAGTTTCGATTGTGGGTTCGATTCCCGCCCCTGGACACTTTTATTTTTCCGTTCGCCATTACTCTTCACATTTTCACCCTTTCATACGTCATCCAATCATATATAGACCATTACTCTTCATATATTCAACCTCTTCATACGTCATCCAAAAAGTTAGAAATAGTACATATTTCTCTTTGAAATTAATATTGATTTTCACAAAAAAAGAAACTTATGCGGGGAGGCTTTAAGTATTACTTTATAATCATACACCGCAGTCCTTTATATTATATAATAATGTGTATATAAAAATAGTATTTATTATTAAGTTGTTAACGTGATAATCCTGTTGAAGGACTGACAAGTCTGAAAACTTGAAAATAAAAAGTTAAACAAGAAACTCAACCCTGGAAGCTTTATTTACTTTATAATACAATTGTATTTTACTGAGAATATTTCTTATATACCATGTATCTTCTATTTAGTAGAATACAAATTCTGTATATAGTCTGTAAAGAAAGAGCTTTTATTTATTTGTATATAGAGCATTGTTGCTCTATAGAATAGAAAATACAAGATATATGAGAAATTCAGTCTAATACAATAGTAGAGCTGTCTGGAGATTGAAATGACGAAACCGCTTGGAGGATTCACCACTGATGAACAAGCTCACTAAAAAACCTGGGTTCAGCTGGCCCGGCTGATAGTACCCTGTAAGGGCTCCTGATCCAGGGATACAGGATAAGTCTGTACTCCATGTTAGGAGTGACTGCACATGGTGTCTGTTCCTCATGTCAGAGGCGGCCATTTCTTTTGGAGCTAAGTCGGCCTGCCACTGAGTTGTGCTTCCCTCATTCACTTTCTATTCATTGCACTATATATGGTCTGTAAAAATAGCTTTTAATTATATTGTAACGTAGAAAATTAGTAAAGACAAACTTCAGGATGGCACAGCAATTTATTTAAGGCAAAAACAGCACAAAATATACAAGATAGCAGAAAGGTAATGAGGTAAGTTTACACAGAGAGTAAAAAAACATAAATATTTATGAAAATAGTACAAAAGTGAATTTGTACATGTGGCAATATCGTTGCGGGGTTTCTTGTTGTTGGATGCGAATGGTGAGATTTGGTTGAAGCGCAGCCGTTTGAGTGGAAGTTGCAGCATACAGTTAGGAATAATCAGGACACGTGATTGAGTTTGAAAATAAAAGGCAACTGGGTTGGAGGGAAGAAAGCTTGAGAAGAGTTGAGCGATTTGACTTATTAATTAGTTGATCACATGGCGATGATTGGATTTAGATGAAATGAGCGGAGAGAGAGAGATCTCTAGAGTAGATGTTACCTTGTTGGAAGCGAAGGAGCCACCCCACAACTGTAGGTGTTGTTCCTATGATAGCGAAGGCGTAACTGACCATTCTTGCTTTCCGATTTAACACCAAGACTCAGTTTCTCTCTGATTGGTTGAGAGATGATCACCTGATCTTTCCCTATTGGTTGACCTATTTAGATGCTATCTTCTGATTGGCCGGCGGCTTCCTTTGGTGTTAGTTACGCCCGGCCTGGGTCAGGAAGTGTCGTGTTTGTTCGACTCTATTTACTTCCGCGGCTATCAAAATACGTCCGGTTCTGTCAGGAAGCATTGGGTGTCTCTCGATTAATATAACTTCTGCGGATACTAGATACGTCCTGTTTTTCCAGGAAGTGTTGGTTTAAACTTAGCTCGCAGGGACCCGGGGTCAGAAGGTTAACTGCGACGTTATTAATAAATATGTTCTCCTCTAGATTTGCTTCCTATGTCTTTTGTTACTTTCTTTCCTCCAGTTACCTTATTCTTTTATTAAATCTTTGAAAATCATACATGGTACATACATAGTGGGTCGGGGTTGCATTTAATTATATACAAATTATGACAGATGCGCCCCCTACATGTGAAGAATTCAAGAAGGGGTTAGCCTGAGAGAATTCTGTAAAGTGAAAAATAATTTTGTGGGAAAATTAGTTGTGGGTATTGAGTCTATATACAAGCATTGGTGGCGATATAATAAGTAAAATAGAATGGTGTTGATGATATAGGTTGAGTATAATTAATAGAAATCAAAAATTTTTTAATTGTAAGAAATCAATGAATGTTATGGTACATAGTGGGCAAAAAAAAAAAGGAAAATGCGCCTAAACGAATTCTACTCGAGTTAAGAAATGAATTCGAGGGAGTTCTATTAAGGCTTTGAAATCAAAATAAAATAATATAAAATAGTTGAATGAAATCAAAATTGAATGTTTTTGGTTGAAAAAGAAAAATTGTTTTGTTGCATGGTGATAAGGGAAAATGCCTAGTTACCTTTTTTGCTCGAATTTGGAAAAGAATTCGAGGGAATTTCATAAGGTCTTTTGAAATCAAAATAAAATAAAATAAAAGGTTTTTGAGCGAAATCAAAGTTGAGTGCTTGGTTGAATGGTGAGAAAAAAAAGGAAAAATGCCTAACCATATTCTATTCGAGATTGGGAATGAAATCGAAGGAATTCTATTAGGTCTTTTGAGAAATCAAAAATAAAAATAAAATAAAAGTTTTTTGAGCGAAATCAAAGTTGAGTGCTTGGTTGAATGGTGAAAAAAAAAAGGAAAAATGCCTAACCATATTCTAGCTCGAAATTGGGAATGGAGACCGAGGGAATTTTATTAGGGCTTTTGAGAAATCAACATAAAATAAAATAAAAATAAAAGTTCATAAGGTATTTTGAAATCAAATAAAAATAAAAGTGGTTGAGCGAAATCAAAGTTGAGTGTTTGGAAAAAAAAAAGAAAAATGAAAAATAAAAAGGTTTCAACAACAAAGGGTGATTTAATGTTTTTAGTTTAATCGAAAGCCAGTGAGTTTTTGTTGATAATTGAGTTGTGGCAGTTTAAGCTAAGTGGTAAATATAATGATAATTGATAAATAAAAATGATAATATAAACTAATTGGAAAAAATATGATAATTAATGATTAAAAGTGGTAATAAGTTGAATAAATTGATAAATTGATTAAATATTTAAATTTTAATTGAGAGAAAATAATGAAAATGATTGACATGAAAAATAAGGTGTATTGGTTTGAACCCTTTGGTATCTACATGCCCTGATCTACATGTATTGGTTGCTCCATTTTGCCCTATAAATGTTTTACTTGCTCAATTATGCCCTATAAATTTTTTGTCTCATCTGTAGCGACACTTAGGTGAAAAACGTGATTCTAGCCCTCAAGTGCGTTTATGCTGTGTGTACAGGAGACATGGAAATCTATATAACCTTTATGTGTAATTTTTTGTCTTTGTGTGTGTGTTGTGAAAAATGTTAGAAGTCGGTTGTGTAAGAAATGTGTGAGCTAGTTCTATGTGTTGTCTCGTGGATGTGTAATTGGGTGGTAAAAATCGATATGTAGACTCGAACTGGAATCAAAAATCGGTGGCATAGCGAGGTTCCCAGTTGACCTCAATAGGGGATCTTCTCATTGTAATTAGAGATACGGAAGTGGGGTGTGTCGGGCAAACGAGAGGGAATGAAATTGGAGATCGGACGAAGGCGCTCCGCTTTGTTTACAGAGGCCGAATTTATCGCTGCGGACTACACTTCCTGTCGTGGTGTCTCAAAATTCTCATTTCCTGCCGTCTATTTATTTTTGGTGCGGCTCAGATCTTGTTTTTGGAGCGTGATTTCTCCGACACTGGTTGGTTATCTTTCAGTTACTGCTATCTTTTCGGAGTTTATTTAGATTTTCTGCGAAGATGGTTCCTAAAATTATGAGAAGTTTTATAAATGTTTGTCCTAAATTAAAAACTACCTCTTGTAGTTCGAAGATTTTCTGCGCGGGCATGGCATAGATAAACAAGTAATTAATGAATAAAATTGGGATACAGTTGTACGGTAGAACTAATAGACCAAGGGTAAAAATCAGATGAAAGATAGGATATTGTCCCATGTTCGTCCATATTTTTGTAACTGGGGACTCTGAAATATTTGCTTGAACCTTATGAATTGTAGAATTTGAATGATTGGTAGGTTCGCAGTTCTCTTGTTTGATATCTTTAGGGAGTGGTGTGATATGATTGAACTGGTTGTCAGGTTTACAGTTCTCCTGTTTGATAGTCAATGGTTTTATTAGAGATATGTCGGCGGTAATTGGTTTAGGTTGAGATGTGTGATCGTTTCTCTGACGTGGATGTGGTAATTTTGGCATTGTTTGTGTGGTGTGTACGCTGTGCTTTATGTACGAATCTTGTTTTGCTTTGGTGCCTGTGTCGGTATTTTTACGTGAAGGTTGGTTGTATTCATCGATTCTTCTAGCGAATCGGCAGGTGGGACAGGTTTTTACCTGTTTTGCGATGTCTTGTGTCATGTTCTGCCAATAATATTGTGCTGAGATGAGTCTCGTCATCTTGGAGATGTTTGGGTGGTGGTGTTGTGTGTGTACGGACTTAAGAAGTCTGGTTGTAAGTGAACTTGGGACTATAGTTTTAAGTACTCCTTTTCGGGAGACGGTGCGCAGTTTATTGTGATCCATAGTCACGCGAGATTTTCCCGGTGGAGAAGACTGTTGGCTCTTTATGAGTGGCGCATCTAGAAAGCCACAAAATAGGATACGAGTTCCAACGCCCGTTTCATATTGTTGTACTCCATTTATGCTACGGACCTCATATTCGTATCTTGACAATCTTAACCTCCATCGAAACAATCTGCCTGACGGAGCTTTGATCTCTTTCAACCACTGCAATGCGGGATGGTCAGAAAATATTGTAAACTTTCTGCCATTTAGACAGGTGCGGAAATTATCCACACTTTCCACAATGGCTAGGCATTGTAGTTCCAAGTCTGAATAATTTCGCTCGTGACTACGCAGAGATCGGCTGAAATGTTGAACGGTGTATGTCTTCCCATCAGG